AATCTTATAGACCTGAATCATATCCCCCCTTAGCCTCCTTTGCTCAAGGCTTTGGCTAATGTCAAGTCTTTTTCGGTTAGGAGTTGTCTTTGTATACTTTCGTTATGCATACCGCACACAAGCCTGTCTCTGAGTGCGTCAGACAAGCCCGCGCCAAACTGACAATGTTCAGTGAGCTTCCTGAGCTCTGCCATGTAGTTGGGAAGTGATTAGTTCTTTTGCTGATTTCGGTTATGAAACCTGAATCTCTCTGCAATAATAAGTGGCTAAGGATTAAAGTGGTCTCCCAACAGTTTGGTTATATCTTTGAACGATTTCTGAGCAGGCTTTTATGGCGCGGTTAAACTCCTCAGCAAGTTGTATGTCTTTGCGCCCATAACACTCAGCAGGACTGCCACTTTTCTCTCATTTTCAATGTTGTTAGCTAAGCAATATTGTTCCAATCTTTCAATATACGTGTCCCATTCCTCCACGTTACTGTCAAAAACATCCACATTTCCAATCGCGCCAGCCATAATTAGTTTTTTTTATTTTATTTCAATCTCTTCCTTCCGTTTTAGTTACTCACCGTATCACATTCGCCGCCGGTCGGCTGTAGAGGGAGTTAGCCCGCTAGCATCCATAAAAGCAGGAGCTTGAACCACTGGAAACTCCCATGTGAGCTCCTATACACGCGAGTACGTTCAAAAATCCTCGTCGCCAATTCTGTTGTGTTTCTCGCTTTCACAACATACATCCAGCAGACACCAAAGTAAGGTTAACAATGCCTTTACTTGGAATTATACTGCCTTACATGTCACTTCTCAGTGCAGGGCTATACACTGCTCTCTAACTCTGTGTCTTCCTATGCTAGCCAGTCTGTCGGTTAATTATTATGGTGCATACCAGAAAAGTAGTTCCTATACTATAACAAAAAATAGTTCCCATATCTAATGTGAACATAACAGTTTACTATATACATATTATGGTCCTTAAGACTGGAGAGCAAAGAGACTGGGTTGTTCCTCCCTTAATTCTCCTTCTGCCCCAGCATGATGTTCATTCTATAAATCGCCTTGAATTTTATCTGGCATAAATGTTT